AGCAACCGAGGAAATGGCAAAAAAATTGTGTATAACTACTTTTTAATATAATGTATAATTGGTATTGTGGTTGTATGCATGAGTGTATACTAGCTTGTATAGATTTACTATTATAGCCCATCTTATTATTATCTTTCAGTATGATTATGCTACCAAAGTCCAATATGGTGAACTGGCAATCTAGTATGGTGAAGATCCTTTGTCTTTAACATTAGGCGCTAAAGAAAGGCCTGGTCAGATTTGTGGGGTTAGTAAATTTGTCTTGCCATCCAAGTTTTTGTGGTAATCAACAAAAAACTCTGCGAATAAGAAATGCACAATATGAAACAATCATTGAGCAACAACAGCAACGAGTTGATGACCAGGAGCAAAGCCTCAATGAGCAATAGCAAAGACACACTGTTTTGGAGTCCATGTTGGTAGCAATACAGCATAACATGCCAATTCACTGGTTTGACAACATTGTCCCCATACGAGAAACTTCCATTGCAAGTAAGAAAGCGAACCCATCCTTCGCTACCACTAAGAAGTATGATATTGTTTATAATTTTAATATTAATTTTTTTATTATATTGATTGATTTGGTTTTAATACTCATATTTCATTAAATATTGTAGCAGAATGTTCAGACACACAGTATAACCCTTACTCAGGCTTCCATGGATAAGTTATCCAAATATTCGTTGGAGCATTTTTTTTTAGGAAACTTCATAACCATTGAGTCTGTAGAAGGGTTATTTGATAAACCATCATTTTTTTTCATTGGTGTGGATGAGGTTAAAGAATTTTATGAATTGGATGAATTATCAGTTGCTAAAATCATTACTTATATGATGTTAGCTTATAAATACAAATATGCACATTCAATATGGAGTAATCTATATTAGGGTGTAATACTAACTAGCAGTGTTGATTGTTATCGTGTAACTTCTTATATAAAGAGCTCAAGGGGAGACAATTGACCAACAAATTTAGATTCATTGACCCCAACTTCATTATGAGCAGAATGGGATAATCACTTATCGGGCTAATCATATGATCCTATGTATAAAAGACCGGTTGATTATTATTTGCTCCCGTATAATACACAGTAAGCTATATTCCAACCTTAATTACTCCAACCTTATCCAAATTTGATCTTATGTGTAATCTGAGTATATCATTGTTATTATTTTGTAGTCATCATTGGGTGCTTATTGTGACTAACATCAATCCTTAACGTCATACTTACTTAATTCAGTTAATCTAACGGTAATGCCTAACATCGATATTGAAATTTTTATAAAGAGTTATTACACTTTATTATATTATATATCTTCTGTTTCTTCATAAGTAATTTTATTTATGTATTAAGTATTTTTTTTCTTTTCAATTTAGGGTAATATATGCATTCAATAAGAAGATAAAGAAACTGAAATGGGTGTCATTACCGGTAAATTTGAAATATATTATTTTATGCTAAGTTTGTGTAGATAAATCTTTCTTAAACCCACACAAATTTAATTTTCAGATACCTCGTCAACTCGATAATACTGAATATGGATATTATATCCTTCGATTTATGCGGGAGATAGTGTTACATGATTTTATGACCACACCATTCAAGGTTAGTATAAATTTCATAAACTCGTTATATTTTTAAAAAAATAAAAAAGGTACATTATGTTCTCATTTCTTGGCATTTACTTCTGATATTTTTTTTAGTGGGACAATAAAGAAAGCTTCACGGAAGAGGAATTGGATGAAGTTCATAAAGAATAGTGTGATTATGTATTATCATTTATCAATGTTGATCAACTTTCAGGTTAGAAATTGTTGGTTAAAAGTAAATATATAAGGAATAAATTGTTATAATGTTTTGAACATGCCATGTTGAATGAAAACTTTAAGTTTGTACATTGGGGTATTAGTTTAATATTATTGTTATACTTAATATGAATATACTATGTGTACTTAATAAATTATTGAGTATGATTATTTCAGAAAAATATATTAATATGACAACGTTATCAGTTTTCATTTTGGATGTGTGTCAATTTATTGAAATACAACAATATTCATTATGTAAATACCAAAATGTAATTCGTAGTATCACATATAAAAACCAAATGTTTTGTGGGCATTAATATATAACTGACAGCAACGTTTTCTGGGCATAAACCTACAACTGATTTAACATATACAATATCAAATATATTTTTTTGATGGGATTAATGAAGGTGTTTTTAGCAAGAAAGTGCCTTGAATCATCCTTAACAAAAAATTTTGAAGGCGTTTTTAACCAAAACTGCTTTCAATAATCACCCAAAAAATTAATTATATGGAATATTAAAGGTGTTTTAGGAAAAAAATGCCTTTAAGAATCCATCGCGTCTTTTTTGTATGGATTATTAAAGGCATTTTAAAAAAACACCTTCAATAATACCAACTAAAAATTAACCAAATAGATTATAAAGGGCATTTTTCTACGAGTAACGCCTTAAATAATCCCTAATAAAATGTTATTGAAAACGTTTCTGGACATAATCGCCTTCAATAATTCAACCATTAAAATTTATCATATGAAATATTAATGGTGTTTTTTTTACCAAAACCACCTTCAATAATCTTACCAAAAATTTGTGTAGAATATTAAAGGCGTTTTGGGCAAAAAACACATTCAAGAATCCATCGAGTCTTTTTTGTATAAATTATTGAAGGCATTTTAAAAAATGCCTTCAATAATACCAACTAAAAATTAATCGAATGGATTATGAAGGGCATTTTCTTATGGGTAACGCCTTGAATAATCTCTAACAAAATGTTATTGAAGGCGTTTTTGGATATAACCACCTTCAATAATCCGACCATTAAAATTTATCGTTTCGAATATTAAAGGCGTTTTGAGCCAAAAACACCTTCAAGCATCTGTTTAAACTTTTGTCTATGAAATATTGATGGCATTTTTGACAAAAATCACATTTAACAATCACAACAAAATTTTATTGATTGGAGTATAGAAGGCGAGTTCGACCAAAAATGCTTTCAAGAATCGATTCCATATTTTTTTTTATGGATTATTAAGGGCGTTTCTCAAGGGTATTTCTCTGTGAAAAACGCCTTCAATATTCTGTGCAAAATTTTTTAAAGCAATTGGTGAAGGCATTTTTGCTAAGAAAATGCTCGAAAATGCTAACAATAATAAATTACAAATAATCTCTGCAAAAACCCAAAAAAGGCTAAAGAGAGGAATCAAACCTACAACTTTATGGTTAACATCCGTACGATCTAAACATTTTGATATGATATTTATTGAAGGCGTTTTTGAATAAAAACGACTTTAATAAGCCTATGAAATTTTTTGATCCAATTATTAAAGGCATTTCTTGTAAAAAATACCTTCAATAATTTCTTACAATTTTTTATTAGATGATTATTGAAGGCGTTGTTTGCCAAAAATATGCCTTTAGTATTCACTAAAATTTTTAAGACAAGATTATTCAATGCGTTTTAGTTAAGAAACGACGCTGATATGAAGTCCTAGGTGGCATTTATAAGTAACAACGTCGCTATTTGAATATTTAGTGATGTTTTGATAATAAACACATTTAAGTTTTATAAAAACACGAAAGCTAGCGACGTTTGTAAGTGAATGACCACTATAAATCTACCACTAAAACACTATTTTCTTATAGTGGTTCATTTAGTAATAGTTGAATTATAATTTATTATCTAAAATATTTTTGTTTAACTTTATTTATTTATTTATAATTATATTTTGTTTTCTTAATTGAATTAGGTAATTTATAATTCATAAAAGTCATAATCATACTCTTTATACTCCCGTCCCTTTGTTTTTGCTTGAATGTAACTATCATTTCACAAATTAACCTTGTTCACGAAGTGTTTGGAATTAATAGGTCATTTATGAAATCTCAAAATCTATATCATCTTTCACTAAATTTTCTCCTAAATTCTTTTAATTTAGAAAAATTATCATCCTCTTGATATAGGATAATTCAATTCTTTTAAAGTAAAAATTATTATTTTTAGTCCATAAAATTAAACTTACATGTTTTGTTATACTTTTAAAAATTATATTAATAATTTAAATTATATAAAATTAAAAAAATAATTTTGATTAATAAATAAATTATCTTATTTTAATTTTTACACATATCAAATATGAGATAAAATAATATTATTTAATTTAATTTAATTTATAATATCATATTATTTTATTCTATTATAATCTTATATACTAAATATCTTATTATAATTTTATATATTAAATATGAGATTGTCTTTAAATAAACCTTTGAAACGTTGAACCGTCACATTTTCCGAACAAATTAATTCCACCAGCATTTCTTCATCAAAGCTACATTTTTTCACGTGGTCATACAACAAGCCAGTGAGATCAGATTACGATGATCCCAATGCCCCTCTGCACCTGAATGCTTTGGGAAATTGGAATGATGCTATGCATATTCAATCAATCAAACAATTTTTTTTAGACTGATGTAGCACATATTTTGGGAACAAAAATTTTCTGTCATCCGATCCAATTTGCATCAGCAAGATTCTATTTAATGACAGACGTCATCTTTTATCACTAAACAAATATGGGTAATTTATGAAAATGAACTTGTATTTAGTTTATTTGTTTATATAATAATAATATATAGTTGAAAGACCAAAGCTGTCAACGTCCCAACAAACAACAGAGAGCTAAAAGTCATCACCAATTGCAGAACCAAAGGAAGATCATACATAGGGTAATATTGACTTTTAATTACATTCATTCCTTTTTCAAACTTTTGATGTTTGGGATTCAAACCCCAGTTGTCACGCTTTCATAAAGTTAATACAAATTGTTGGGTTTTACACAAAAAGAAATACTATTAATATCTTTCTCACCATTCTTTTCTTTGGGTGTGTTCTCCAAGTTCAATCTACCCAAGACTTTGATTCCTAGTGGTTTTTCAGAAGCACACAAGTTAAGGGAACCTTGTCATGCATAACTGTTACTGTTTGTCTTTCATCCTGGAGGACAGCAAGAAGCTAGCAAAATTAGGTGACTTTTTTGAAGCTCATCGCATCGTTACCTCATTTTTAGTTAAAAAATGGCTTCTAAAACCAATGACACTGTAGGGTGTTTTGAGCAATTAAAAGAAACTTCGAGCCTAAATAGTCGAAATAAATGATTGATCCAGAGGGCAAGCAAGAGGTGAATGAGTTACATGTCGGAATCCAAATACTCAATAGTTTGTGTCCCGCGGTGGGGGGAGAGGGAGGCCGATATCAACTAAAAATATGCAATTGCATAGAGTAAACAAAGACGAGCACATCTGATTTTACGGCACCATAATATAAGTGATATATATAGATATTGCTTACAAGTGGAACCAACTTTGTGACGAGCATGAGCATCGCAGTGCAGTAAGAGATCCTAGGTAAAGGGCGGAGCAAAAGGGCTAAATGATTAACTTAGTAAAGTGATGACCAAAATGACTGATCTTCCGCCGGTAATGCTAAATTACATGAATTGGAATGTGCATCATAGTAACAGTCAACTTCAAATTTTGGGAAGAATATTGGTGGGCGCAGAAGGCTCTTGCTGAGATTATAATCTTCTTCATCTTGGGAAAAATCAGAATGATTTGGTTCGAAAGCAATGTACGAATCGGTAGGCTCGATCAATGAAGAATGATTCCCATCGGTGTAATGTGGGCTATCTGAGTCAAAAACATCAATTTTAGCTAGACGTGCTTCTTTATGTTTACCTGCCAGCAATGGCACGTGGGAAACGTCTCCAGGACATACATCAGAATTGGGTTTTTGAGGTCCTGCATCGGATGAATTTATGGCACCAAGAGATTCCAAATTTTCCCCCCCTTTCGCTCTAGTAAGCAGTTTCTCTTTGAGTGCAAGAATCTGTTGCATAGTAAAAATAGAACCATTAACCACTGCAGCCGATTAGTACTTTAAAATAGAAAATGCTGAATTGTTTTGGGTGAAAGGTTTACCTCATTTTTCAAATCATCCTTCTCCTCAAGGAGACTGTCATAATCAGCCTTGAGCTTATCATAGCTAGCTTTCAAAGAATCATAGTCCTTTTCCAGCTGTTTGTTCTTAAACCGAGCTCGCCGATTTTGAAACCAAATTGCAACTTGGCGGGGCTGTAAGCCAAGCTCTTTAGCTAGTTGCAACTTCCTCTCTGGTTCAAGTTTGTTCTCAAACTCAAAGCTCCTCTCAAGAAACTGAACTTGAGTCGCTGTGAGCCGCCTTTTCTTTCCTGGTGGATGACGGGATTCATCAAAACCATCATCTCCATTCTCTTCTTTGTCAAGCGGTTGGAAGAATGGCATATCTGTGGTCTCCACTCCATTAACATTCTCATAATCAAAGATAGGTTTCCGACCTGATTTAATCAGAGAGCGCACAGACAAAAATCAGATGACTATCACCATTTCTTATTTGCTCTAATAGTATATAATGCCAATCATCTAATCTTTTCACAAACTTCATCATCGGGTATTCTCAAGCAACGGGATTTTCATGGCTTTTTTAAATTCGGATATAGTAATCTGACACTTTAATTATCAAAAAGAAAAAGCCAACTTTGACACAAAAATGCACGCCCACAAGCAACTAGACAAAACCAGTACTGAAATTTAAACACACAACAATCAACAAGAAAATCGAAAGCAAAAGAATGCGAGACGTAATAGCTAACAAACACCAAAGAAGTAGCAATAAAAATAGATGGAGACAGGAAAAGAAAATTACCCTGTAAAGCAGAGGAAGAGGAGGGTATCCATAAAGACTCTATAAGCTCAGAGGAGCAAGAAAGTTGTTCACTTTGAAGCAAAGCATTCATGTTTGGACTAGCACAGATTTTGCAACCCACCATGTTCGTTTTTGCTTTTTATTATTTTCTGTGTGTATTTTTGTGGGATGCCCAAAAGTCTAAAATATTAAGTCTTTGGGGGAAGAAATATCAATCATATGTTTCTGCTTGATCATGCAAGAAAAATTTGTGATGGGAATCACTGTAATGTGGAAAGTCTGAAAGCTAGAAAAGCTTATGTCCATAAATCACAAGAAAATGGTCAAGTTTCAAACTTCAAAGCCAGAAAAGAAAAAGAATAACAAATAGCTCTGCTATCAAATTGAGAAAAAAATAATGGAGTTTGTTTCTCGGTGGAAGCAGCTTGAAAATTTTCCTCTCTAAGTAGTGTTCAAAGCACAGGGAGTTTATATTAAAAGTTGAACACTTGAAAGACAGATTCACCTTCTGGAGTGTGGGCTGGAAGGGCCTGACGGGGTTTATATCAAGCTCTGTGAAGTGACAGAGGGTCTGGGGCTGGCTGCCTTGCTTTTCTTCTGGGGATAGTTGGTAGGCTGAAATTGGAGTTACCATATTGTCCCAACATTTTCCTTTTTTGTTATTTAATATTTATAATACTGTTAATACAAATATAAATATTGAAAAGTGAAAAGTCCATAAAATGTAAATTACAATATGCGAATGGTAAACGCCAGAGTCTTCCTTGGAAATTTTCTGTTTATTCTTTTAGTTGCATAAATGTATTCGTTTCTTCTTCCTATTTGTTTGTTACAATTTTCTATGAATATTAGATTGAAATCCACGAATTAATTTTATTTATTTTATATATTATAATCATATAAATTAATATTTTTTAAAAATTATATTCAAAGTTTCAAAATTTATAACATATAAAAAAATTTTTATCTAACTTGCCATAAAAAAATAAATTTTCTTAAAAAAAAATTGACATTTCTTAACTTTGCACCATCTTTATTCGCAATAATATTTATACACCTAACATTTATATCAAATAAAAATAAACTATCTATCTTTTTTAAAAGAACAAAAACATATATATTTTCAAAAGATAAATTAAATAATAAAAAAGTATAGGCACACTTTCACTTTTGTAATTTTATTCAAATTATTATACAAAATAGTAAATGATGTTAGAAGATGTGTGAAAACAAAATTGTAACAAATATTAATTTTCATAAGAACAAACTTGGAATGTGATAGAATATACTTTGAAAAAGGAAGATGCAAATTGAAAAAATAAATTGCAATAGAAATAGAATTCCAAAAAGTTACAAATAAAAAAAATGGTATAACACATTACATTTTTAATCTTTAATTTGTAGAATAAGTCTTAGATGACAAGTAGAATTGAATAGATAATTTTCATATTGGTATTTTAAAAAATAAAAAGGATATAATATGTGATAAAAATTAAATCAAATTTCTTACCTATTTTTTAAATATAAAATTGATATTTAGAGTTGAGATGGATATAAATCCTATTATTTAGATATTTAATATGAAAAATTATTTGATTTCAATATTTTACGTAGATTTTTGAAAAAATAATTTTTGTTTGATACAAATTAAGATTAAAGAACATAATGAGTTTTTTAAAATTTTGAAAAATACTTAATTTTTATAATTTTAAAACATGTTAAAAATTTTCATAATTAAATAATTTATAAAATAAGATTATCTAGTAAAAAAAATTAAATTATTCAAATAAAATGCATATTTCAAATTTTTAATTTTAAAAAACATATGTCTATATTAACTTGATTTGCAATTATAATTTAAATAATTTTAATATTTGAATAAACTCAAAATTATCCACTTTGTAATTAAAAGAAGCTATACTTTTTAAAAAAACTATCCCCTATATCATATAAAAAAGTTGTTCATATACATGTTCATATGACAAACCTTATCAAGTGTCTGTAGATACTTAATTTTTTCTTATAGATTCTAGCTTGTTGTGAGGCCTTTAAAGTCGGCCTAGTTTATGACCAATATATCTTTAAGATTGATGAATTTTCAAAATTAAATTTAGGATCAAATTGACCTAAATGCGTTATAGTCAAACTTGATCAAACAAAGTAAAACCTAAATAAAATCAATCAAAGTTAGTCAAACTCCGGTCAACCCTTAGAATTCACAATTGAATAGGATTATTAAGGCTTGAGATTAACAAATTTTGTGATTTCGATGCACTGACAACCATAATTGCACCTCGAAAGGGTTGAAATTACCAAAATACCCTTTAATGGTATTTTCATAATTTGATCTTTTTAAGGTTGATTTTTCGTGAGAAACTCTAGATCACGTTTTGATGCATTAAAAACCATTACCACACCTTAGAATTGTTAAAATTATGAAAATACCCTTTAAAGGTATTTTTGTAATTTAACTTCTCAAGGTCGATTTTCACAAAAAATTTTTGATCATATTTTAATATTATTTCATGATTATTAAAAACCCTAATTGCACCATAAAAGGGTTGAAATTACTAAAATACCTATTTATTAAATTTTTGTAATTTAACCTTCCCAAAGTTTGTTTTTTTCGAAAAACTCTAAATCATATTTTGATAATATCTCATAATTTTTTATGTATTGAAAACCTTGATTGCATATCGAAAGAGTTAAAATTACCAAATTACCCTTTAAGGGTATTTTTTTAATTTAACATTTTTTATGTTGGTTTTTCATAAAAAAACTCTAGATCATACATAGATATTATTTTATGAATTTGGTGCATTAAAGTCACAAAAACAAATATGGGATCATATGCCTTTAAGAAAATCATGCAAAATGGTTAAAAATACTAATGAAGGCAAAATAGTCTTTTCCCATCAAGTTAGCTACATTGAGATTCACATTTTGTGCTGTATTCATTTTGGGCCATTGATCTTTCAAGGGTTTAAATCTTATGGTCAAAGGTAGTTACTTGATGAATAAACTTGTAGGAAAAGAAAAGAAGAATATTGACCTTTAGATGAACTTTGATCATAAGGCTAGGATATCATGGCTTGACCTTTAAATTCATCATATAGGGCTCAAACTGAGAAAGAGGGAAGTAGCCAAAGAGTGGTGTGGAAAGGAGAAACAAGAAGGAAAAAGTAAAAATTTGAAGAAAGTTTTGAAGGTATAATTTCTTTTCCTCACTTTTATGCATTTTCATGCAAATTTTCATATTCTTTCATATTAAATTTTGTTTCGATTTTTGTGATTTTTCAAGAAGGAACAACTCTCCCCATAGTTGTTTTCTTCTATATTATCATATTTGTTTCAATAAATTCAACTAACCAGGTTAATGGTATGGCTTAAAGTAAAGAGAATTAAGATAACATCAATAAATCCACCATTGGAGTTTCAACCACTAATGCTTTATACCATAGCCGAACCTCATCCTGGTTTGTTTATGTGTTTTGCTTGCTTAGATTAATGTATTATGCTATAATTATGGTTGTATTCATTGTTACTTGCATGATAGTTTACTACTTTTATGGGCTATATTGATTGTTCGGTAAATATTTTTAACATTTTTTTCTTAGTAATTTTTTACATGTTTAATGAAAATCCATTGATAATAAAATGCCTTCATAAGTTAGTTTTCTAAGTGTTTGATGTGCGTCCTAGCTAAGGAAAATGATAAAATGATTATGGATGGGCTAAGGAAGGCTCTCAGCCTATCTTTCCCATTGCTTGGTCGAGACCTCCAATTTGATTCTTAGCCAAGAAGTTGACATTTCATGCTTGTTTGTTTGTGTTACTAGCTAGATTTTCATGTTTTTTATGTTTGATAAAATTTTCAAAGGATAAATTAAGTTTTTTGGTAGAATTTGATCTTATTTTTCATGTGTTTGTGTTAAATGAAATGTTGGATACATAATCCTAAATGTTTGGCCAAGACAGGGAATGATTAAATGGCCCTGAAGGTTTTGGTTTAGCCCCCAACTATGGCTTGGCCAAACCTTGTCTTTTCCCTTAGCCCTCGGTGTTTGATTTTCTTCTAGTAAGGTTTTTGCATGCATGATTAGTTTAGTAAGTGTTTGTGATTTTGTCTCAAGTTTTGGCTTTCCAATGTAATCCCATTTTATGCATTAAATGTTCTATTTTGTATTGGCACCATGTTCATTTATTTTGTCACATTCATTATTTAGGTTAACCCTAAAACCCTACCCCAAACCAAAACCCTAATATAAACTTATAAACCGTAAATCTAAACCCTAAACCCAAACCAAAACCCTAAACTTAAACCCAAACCCTTAAACCCTAATCTAAACCATTAAAACCTAACCTAAATCTCTAAATCCTAAACTTAAACCTAAACTCCAAACCAAAATCTTAAACTTAAATCCAAACCCCTAAACCCTAACCTAAACCCCTAAACTCTAAACCCTTAAACCCCAAACTTAAATTAAAACCCCAAAGTAAAACCCTTTAACTCTAAACTTAAACCAACCCCAAACAATACCCCAACCCAAACCGAACCAAAATCCTAACCAAGACCAAACCATACCCCAACCCAAACTGAACCAAAATCCCAACCCAAACCAAACCATACCCTAATCAAAACTAAACTAAAATCCCAACCTAAATTGAACCAAACTCTAAGCCAAACTGAACAAACCCTAAAATCAAGCTAAACCAAAATCCCAACCAAAATCAAACTATACCCCAACCCAATCCAAACCGAACCAAACCTCAACCTAAACCGAACCAACTTTAAAATCAAATCGAACCAAACCTCAACTCGAACTAAACCTAAACCTTAAACCATAAATGAAACCATAAAGTCAACCCCAAACTGAGCCTAAACACTAAACAAACCCCTAAACCCTAAATCAACCTACAAACCTTAAACAAACCTTAAACCAAGATGCTAAATAATCCATTAACCACCCATAAACCCTAAAAGCCAACCCTAGACTCATTCTTATGCATTCACATTTCATTTCAGTAAATCATCACATGTATTAACATTCTTGAATTGTCATTGCATTCATGCATTTATATTTGTCATTCTCTCTTTGATTCTCATGCACATATATCATGTTG